TTCTTCTTCTTCTTCTTCTTCTTCTTCTTCTTCTTCTTCTTCTTCTTCTTCTTCTTCTTCTTCTTCTTCTTCTTCTTCTTCTTCTTCTTCTTCTTCTTCTTCTTCTTCTTCTTCTTCTTCTTCTTCTTCTTCTCCTTCTCCTTCTCCTTCTCCTTCTCCTTCTCCTTCTCCTCCTCCTCCTCCTCCTCCTCCTCCTCCTGCTGCTGCTGGCTCAGGGTCAAAATGAGGGGTCCTTGATACTCTCTGAGCTTGGTGGTTTGCTTGCAGCATCAGTCACTGATGATGTTACCTAGTTTGGGTAATGAAACGTCTGCCAGAAAACCACCAAGCTCAGAGAGCACCAAGGACCCCCACAGTCCTCCTCCTTTCCTTCTCCCCCTCCCCCTCCCCCTCCCCTCCTCCTCCTCCCACTTCCTCATTCCTTCTCCTCCCACTTCCTTCTCTTTCCCCCTCCTCTTCTTCATTCTTTTGGCTGTTTCTGTTAGAAGGCGGGCATCATTGTATGTATTCATCTTGTTTCCATGTGAGAGAGAACGGTTGTATTTGAGAGAGATCATTGGCATATGCAGATATGAGATTGATTTTATAATTGGGTTAGCCAAGACTTAACTTCAAGCTAATCTGCCAAGAAATCCATAATCTGAGTAGACCTTTGCACTTCCTGCATATTCCTCCCTTTCTAGCAACTTCTATCTATTCTTAGCAAGAGCACCCTCTTCATTCATCAGTAATTTCGGGGGGGGGGGACTTCAGTTTAACTGGGCAAAAGAGGAAAACAATTAATTTTGCAACCAATTTTATAGACCTTTAACTAGAAGTCATTCATTCAGTTAATATAAATTTAGGATTTTGTCCTAAACCGGCTTCTGGCTGATATGTACACACAGCTACACTTCTGTGTTTCACATGTGCAAGTGTGTCACACACATACAGTTCTTGAACTTTGGGTTGCGTTTGTTTACTTTATTTCTGTCCTACCTATCATAATAACTTGGCAGGATAAAGTTATTTCAAAACAGATTTACAGCTAAAATCCGCCCTCAACCCACATTAAAAGAACTGAATGCAGGAAACCATTTTTTTTTTAAAAAAATCACCAAATATTATTTTCAGAAAGTTAAAGCCCCTTTTGGAAAAGTACAGTTTAAATGCCTTTAACAACGTCAAGTGCATTGCGAAGCTATTCTGTCTCTGAATGAATGCTGGGGATTATTGTTAACTTGCGAGCTTTGGCTAATCTACAGAGATCTTTGGGCTATTTTGGAAACAGGGATGAATCATGAGTAATGTAGGGTTAGAATTGTGGGTCTTTCTAATCTAGACTTCTCGCCTCCATCTTACACCTAGCCCTGTATAGAAAGCTGCTTTTGCTTCTAAATTCCTGAACTCTGGTGCACGGTTAGGTAATTTTGGACTCTGAACTGTGAGTTCATAATGGTAGAGTGAGTGGGAAGGTAGAGGATACAGTACAATGTTCCACAAGCTTGGCGACTTTAAGCTATGTGGACTTTGACTCCCAGAATCCCCCAGCCAGTGTGCTTAAAAATGTGTGAACTACAACTCCCAGAATCCCCCTGCCAGCATGCTTTAAGAGAGATGGGTATCAGCTTTCAGAATCCCAGCTAGTGTGCTTGAAGATGCTTTAGCCTCCAGTCCTCTAAGCAACAAAGATGATTAGGGACTGGAGGCTAAAGCTTATAAGGAACGGCTGCTGGAATTGGTATGTCTAGTTTAATGAAGAGAAGGATGAGGGGGGACACGATAGCAGTGTTCCAATATCTCAGGGGCTGCCCCAAAGAAGAGGGAATCAAGCTATTTTCCAAGGCGCCTGAAGGCAGGACAAGAAGCAACGGGTGGAAACTAGTCAAGGAGAGAAGCAACCTAGAACTAAGGAGAAACTTCCTGACAGTTAGAACAATTAACCAGTGGAACAACCTGCCTCCAGAAGCGGTGAATGCTCCAACACTGGAGGTTTTTAAGAAGAGACTGGACAGCCATTTGTCTGAAATGGTATAGGGTTTCCTGCCTGAGCAGGGGGTTGGACTAGATAACCTCCAAGATCCCTTCTAACTGTATGATGATGATGATGATGTTGATGATGATGATGATGATGATGATGATGATGATGTGTGCATTTCAATTCCCAGAATCCCCAGCCAGTGTGGTTGAAGATGTCTGGACTTCAATTCCCCAAATCCTCTAGTTAGTATGCCTGAGGATATGTGAACCACAATTCCCAGAATACCCCATTGTGCTTGAAGATGTGTGGGCTTCAGTGGCCAGAATCCCCTATCTAGATTGCTTAAAGATGTGTGGGCTTCAGTTCCCAGAGTCTTCCAACCAGTGTGCTTTAAGCTATGTGGACTTCAACTCCCAGAATCCTGCTGGCTGGGGACTTCTGGGTGGTGAAGTCCACTCATCTTAAAAGTGCTAAAGTTGAGAAAGATTGTAGCTAATGACACTGTATTTGAACCATCTGAGTATCAGAGAGAGGAGAGTTTTGGCTTGATTATTATCAGTTTTCTAAGTAACATGGGCCCAGGGAATTGCTCTAGCTCTGTAGAACCACCAGCTTAGACCCATCAACGAGCAGGAGCTGCTGAGAAACCCCTGATGGACAATGAGTGTCAACCTTTCAGAAATGAAATGGCTTCTGAAATCTTGGCTTGGCAACAAAAAATGGGAAGATGGTTGGGGCAACCCTTTCCAAAATCTGCTGGCAGTTGTTTCCTCTTTCATGATCCTTCACATGTGCATACATGCTCCAACACTGGACGTTTTTAAGAAGAGACTGGACAGCCATTTGTCTGAAATGGTATAGGGCAGGGGCAGGGGCAGGGCAACCTTGGCTCTTTTATGACTCGTGGACTTCAACTCCCAGAATTCCTGAGCCAGCCATGCTGAGGGGAAAGGGAGAGGTTTCCAAGCTGAGCCATGCTGGCTCAGGAATTCTGGGAGTTGAAGTCCACGAGTCATAAAAGAGCCGAGGTTGCCTACCCCTCGTATAGGGTGTCCTGCCTGAGCAGGGGGTTGGACTAGAAGACCTCCAAGGTCCCTTCCAACTCTGTTATTCTGTTATTTTTTCCTGCATTCTGTTTCTGTCTCTTTCCTAGTGTCTAAAAGCTGAAGATATGGCCAACGCTGTAATATATGTTCTCAGCGCCCCACCTCATGTACAGGTAGAGTTTCTGAATTTTTTTAATTTATTTTTTTGTAAATGGGTGAGATGGGGGAAGAGTATTTCCATGAAGGCCCCTGGGGGAGGAAATGGCAGCACACACATCACAACAAATGATGCAAGAATCATTTAGATGATAAAGAATGACTTTATGGGTAACTCAAGGATGCCATGATGTCACTAATGTAGTGATATCATGCTGTGCATAATGTTGGTGTGCTTCTGTCTGGTTGCTATGACTGCATGTTGTCCTCGACTTACAACCATTCGTTTAGCGACTATTCGAAGTTACAACACTTATGACCATTTTTCACACTTATGACCGTTGCAGCATCCCCTGTGATCAAAGTTTGGACGCTTGGCAACTGACTCATATTTATGATGGTTGCAGTGTCCTGGGGTGTGTGTCATATGATCCCCTTTTGTGACCTTCTGACATGCAAAGTCAATGGGGGAGCCGGCTCCACTTAACAACTGCAGGGATTCACTTAACTTCTGTGGCAAGAAAGGTCGTGAAATGGGGCAAAACTCACTTAACTGCCTTGCCTAGCAACAGAAATGTTGGGTTCAGTTAGGGTCATAAACTGAGGACTTCCCATATTTCCCTCACTGCAGTTCTCCTATTAATTTACATTTCTAAGCTGCTGCTTTAAATTTGCACATAGTCTCGTTTCTTTAGATCAGGGGCCTTCAAACTTGGCGCTTTTATGACTTGTGGACTTCAACTCCCAGAATTCCTCAGTCAGGCATGCTGAGGCAACTCCCAGAATTCCTCAGCCAGGCACTTGAAGTCCACAAGTCATAAAAGGGCCAAGTTTGAAGACCCCTGCTTTAGATAAACTGACTTGCAGCTAGAGAAAGATGTAAGAAGGGTTTTCAGAGAGTTCTCAACTTACAACTGGTCACTCACTTATTAACTCTGTGGACCTTAAGTGAACTCTATGATGCAACAGACAGAAGTGCTAGTTTTTGACAAAACCTGTTGTAAAACGTGGTCACATGACCGTCAGATGCTGCAGACAGTCATAAATGCTCAGCACCCGAAGTACAATCATGTGTGACGGGTGTGTGTGTGTGAAGGCCTGTTGTAAGCCTCCTTTTTTCAGGTAGATTGTGACATTTAATGGCCACTAAGTGACTGGTCATAAAATGTGGACTACCTGTATATTTCAGAATACTTTCTCTCCTCTTGCTATCCCTTAAGTCAGGGGTCCCCAAACTTGGCAACTTTAAGACTTGAGGACTTCAACTCCCAGAATTCCTCAGCTAGCTGGGGAATTCTGGGAGATGAGGTCCCCAAGTCTTAAAGTCTTAAGCTGAATTTGGAGAGCCTTGCCTTAAGTCTCCAAGCAGACTTAGTGGTTGCTGGACTTCCTTGTTAAAGAACCCTAAAAAGGAGACCCCAGAAGTGACCACAACGTCTGTGGGAATCCTTGAAATTTGTTATTCTGCTCAATTTCGCCCAGCAGCAGTGACCAAATTCCCTTGTGTCTTCCAGATTGGCGATATTCAGATGAGACCCACCGAACAAATGTCGTAGCGGAGGAAGAAGAGGATGGGAGCCAGGCATCCAGCGCGGGGACACCCTTTCTCCAAACAGGGTTTTCTTCAGATGACCGGTGACTTGCTAAGGGCCTCGTGGAAAGGCTTGACCCTCAGCCCTTTGCCCTCATCGCTCTCCTCAGCTGAACTGACCTCAGTGGAAACTGGCATGAAAATCCAGTCTTCACAATAAGTCCTCCACTCATGCCTTGGTTCTCTCCACCATGATTAATTTGTAAGCAACAGTTCCCAGCTTTTGCACAGAACCCTCTGGGTTGGACTAGAAGACCTCTAAGGTCCCTTCCAATGGTTAAAGCTTAGAAGCGTCAATGTCACCGGATTCTGATTTTGGGGGAAAGGGACTGACAGCGGATCCGGACAGCGAACGTTTCATGAGTGATTCTTTCAGCTTCCCTTTGTGACTTGCGACCAATGTACAATTTTCTGGAAATTCATTGAAATGTCTTTTTCTTTTTAGGTTGTCACCCCCAAACAGTTAAAATAGGAGTTTCTGTCTTCTGGGCACTGAGGAGTTGCCTTAATATCCATTAAAGGAGAACAAAATGCAACCCCTCCAGCTTAAAAAGCGATTTCCATTCACTTAGAGCAGAAGTGGGCTTGGATTGCAGGTTCAAATATCTTCAGCTTTTTCGTTGACATACAGGTAGTCCTCAACTTACAACAGTTCATTTAGTGACTGTTCAAAGTTACAGCGGCACTGGAAAATGTGACTTATGACCGTTTTTCACTGTTACAACCTTTGCAACATCCCCATGATCATGTGATCAAAATTCAGATTCTTGGCAACTGGTTCATATTGATGACCTTTGCTGTGTCCCAGGATCACGCGATCCCCTTTTGCGACTTTCTGACAAGCAAAGTCAATGTGGAAGCCAGGTTCACTTAACAACCAGGTTACTAACTTATCAACTGCAGCGATTCAGCAAGAAAAGTCGTAAAATGGAGCAAAAATCACTTAGCAAATGTCTCACTTAGCAACAGAAATGTTGGGCTCAATTGTGGTCCTACGTTGAGGACTAGCTGTATATACCGAGTAAATCTTGGATTCTGGAGTTGCAGAGCAGTGTTTCTGAGGAGGAAGGCAATACAGGTAGTCCTTGACTTACAACCATTCATTTAGTGACCATTTGAAGTTACAACGGCACTGAAAAATAGTGACTTATGACCGGTTTTCACACTTATGACCATTGCAGCGTCCCCAGGGTTACGCAATCAACATTCAGGCACTTGGCAACTGGCATGTACTTAGATCAGTTGCACTGTCCCTGGGTCATGTGATCACCATCTGCAATCTTCCCAGCCGGCTTCTGACAAACAAAGTCAACGGAATTCAGTTCACGACCACAGATTCAATTAACGACTAAAGTGATTTGCTTAACAACTGGCAAAAAAATTGTCAAATGGGGCGTGGACTCACTTAACAACTACTTTGCTTAGCAACAGAAATGGTTGTTAAGTCAGTTGTCCTTTTCCATCTATAAATCTACTCTGTTGGGTAGGTGTGCCTGTTTAAGGCCATCAGAAAAATGGATGGTGGCTGCAACTACACAACTCAAACCTTGCCTCTTTTCTGCATGTCAAAAGGGGGCAGGGCTCTGATTGTACAGGTAGTCCTCGACCTACAACTATCATTGAGTCCAGAATTACAGTTGTTAAGTTGTTGCGGTCATCAGGCGAGGCGTCACGCAATCAGATTCGAAGGGGCGAGCGGTTTTTGTGACGCTTATTAAGTGAGTGCAGCAATTGTTAAGCAAATGCAGCAGTGATCATGAAGTGAATGTGCCACTCGTTAAATGAAACCCTTCCCCCCCCCCATGAGAAAGTTTTGCCAGAAGCAAGAAATAAATCCAAGAAATCAGCAACAACAACAACAAAATCACAAATACGGTCACATGACTGCAGGATGCTGAAATAGCCATAAAGGGGAGCTGGCTGCCAAGCAACCAAAATGTGATCACATGATCTTGGTGTGGGCGTGGCCACCGTAACTCTGAAAATGAGTTGTATGTAGCTAGGCCGCAAGGATAGGCAACCTTGGCTCTTTTATGACTCGTGGACTTCAACTCCCAGAATCCCTGAGCCAGCCATGCTGAGGAGAAAGGGAGAGGTTTCCAAGCTGAGCCATGCTGGCTCAGGAATTCTGGGAGTTGAAGTCCACGAGTCATAAAAGAGCCAAGGTTGCCTACCCCTGAGGGGAGATCTGTAGTAATGTCAAATGGTCTTTAAGTTAAGCGATTGGTCATATGTCAAGTACGACCTGTACAATTGTGGCCGCCATCTTGTCTCTTTAAAGCAGCCCCCCTTTCCCTCGGCACCCCACTCCCAAGGATGCTTTGCAAAGGAGCAATGACACAGGCAGGATGACAACATTTGCACAAAAATGTCACAATGCATGGAACAACATTCGCCCCTCCTTGCCCGTTTGGGGGACACTTATGGGCAATAATCATTATTCTTTGTGTGTGTTGTGTTGTGAGGTGCACAAGCATCTGCCCCTTGTATTATTTTAAACAGAATAATAACTCTTTATCATAGGATTTTAATATTTTTTATTTCTTATTGATTTGTATTCCACGGTTTTTATATTTTTTACAAATAACTCAAGGCAGTGAACACATTCACTATGGGTAGTCCTCAGCTTACAACCACAAGTGAGTCCCAAATTTATGTTGCTAAGTGAGAAATTTGTTAAGTGAGTTTTGCCCCATTTTAGGACTTTTCTTGTTAAGTTAATCACTGTTAAATTAATATTCCAGTTGATAAGTGAATCTGGTTTCCCCATTGACTTTGCTTGTCAGAAAAGGTGATCACATGACCCCGAGATGCTGCAAATGTCATAAATATGAGTCAGTTGTCAAGCATGCAAATGTAAATCACGTAACCATGGGGCTGCTACAATGGTTATAAGTCTGAAAAATGGTCACTTTTTCAGTGCCGTTGTAACTTTGAATGATCACTAGGTGAACTGTTGTAAGTTGAGGGCTCTATACACTCATCCTCCTATTTTCCTCACAACAACCCTGTGAGGTAGGTGAGGCGGAGAGAGAGTTACTGGCCCCAAAGTCACCCAGTTGGCAACTTCTGGTGATTGGCTCAAAGTCAGCCAGTCAGTTTTCATGCCTAAGGCGGGATTAGAACTCAGCATCTCCTGGGGATTGGCCCAAAGTCAACCAACTAGCTTTCATAATTAAGGCAGGATTTGAACACAGAGTATCCTGTTTTCTAGCCCGGTGTTATAACCACTAGATCAAATCATATCTACTCTGGCTGGGATATGGCAACACATGAAATCCTAAAACTGGATGGACAGTGACTGTATTCATATAAGGCAACCCCCCCCCCCAAAAAAAGCCCATTATGTCTTCAAGTGATGGCTTGGTTCACATAAGATGCCAAGATCATAGTTGAGTTTCTCTCAACATGTTAAGCCACAAACTGATCCTATTTCAATCAAGCCTATCTGCTAACTATTGTATGTGTTCGTGACCATTGACGGTTCAAAGTTACAACGGCACTGAAAAAAGTGACTTATTACTGTTTTTCACACTTATGACTGTTGCAGCATCCCCATGATCATGTGACCAAATTTTGGACACTTAGCAACTGGCGTGTATTTATGACAGTTGCAGTGTCCCAGGGTCATGTGACAAGCATAGTTAATGGAGGAAGCCAGATTCACTTAACAACTGTGTTACTAATTTAACAACTGCAGGGATTCACTTAACTATGGCAAGAAGGGTTATAAAATGGACCAAAACTCACTTAACAACTGTCTCGCTTAGCAACAGAAATTTTGAGTTCAATTGTGGTCGTAAGTCAAGGTTTATCTGTGTTGGAATTTCACATCCAGGTGGCAAATTCCCTTTTTTCGGTGGGTGGTCACTTTGCACAGTCATTATGCGTCTGGTCGTAAATGTAGGACAACCTGTATAGAAAGGAATCTGATGTTCTTGCTTATCTTTTTCCAAAACACATCACTGGTGGTTGAACCATGTAAGGCAGGGGTCTTCAAACTTGGCCCTTTTATGACTTGTGGACTTCAACTCCCAGAATTCCTCAGCCAGGCACACGTGCCTGGCTGAGGAATTCTGGGAGTTGAAGTCCACAAGTCATAAAAGGGCCAAGTCTGAAGACCCCTGATGTAAGGTATCACCAATTCCCTCAGCTGCTCTGTTCAGGTAGTTTTGAAGTACAAAATACAAAGATGCTGCTGCATTCCCTTATCTTGTTAGACAGATCATGCCAAACCAATCTTATTTCATTCTTTGATAAAGTGACTAAACTAGTAGACCAGCGAAATGCTGTGGACGTAGTATACTTAGACTTCAGTAAGGCATTTGATAAAGTAGACCACAGCCTACTCCTTGGTAAGCTAGAAAAAGGTGGAATGGACAACAACAACAGATGGAACTGTAGCTGACTGGCAAACCGTACTCAACAAGTAGCCCTCAATGGCACTACATCCACTTGGAGAGAAGTAAGCAGTGGAGTACCACAAGGTTCCGTCTTAGGCCCAGTACTCTTCAATATCTTCACCAATGACTTAGATGAGGGAATTGAGGGGAACTCATCAAATCTGCAGATGACTGGCAGGAGTAGCCAACATCCCAAAGACAAACTCAGGATCCAAAAAGATCTTGACAAACTTGAACAATGGGCCCTATCCAACAAAATGAGTTTCAATGTGGAGAAAAGCAAAGTTTTACATTTAGGCAGGAAAAATCAAAGGTACAAGTACAGACTGGGCAAGACCTGGCTCAAAAACAGTAACTGCGAGAGGGACTTTGGAGTTCTAGTAGACGATCACTTGACCATGAGCCAGCAGTGTGCAGCAGTAGCCAAAAAAGCTAATACAATCCTGGGTTGCGTAAACAGGCATAGAATCAAGATCACGTGAAGTATTAGTACCGCTTTATAAAACCCTAGTAAGACCACACCTGGAATACTGCAGCCAATTTTGGTCACCATATCACAAAAAGATGTTGAGAGTTTGGAAAAAAGTCAGAGAAGGGAAACTAAGATGATCCAAGGCCTGGAGATTAAAACATACGAAGAATGGCTGCAGGACTTGGATTTGGCTAGTCTTTAAAAAAAAGAAGGACTAGGGGAGACATGATAGCAGTGTTCCAGTATTTGAGGGGCTGCCACAAGGCAGAGGGGGCAAGTTGTTCACCAGAGCACCAGAGGAAAGGATGAAAAACATGGTTGGAAACTGATCAAAGAGAGAAGCAACCAGAAATTAAGGAGAAACTTCCTAACAGTGAGGACAATCAACCAATGGAACAGCTTGCCTCCAGAAATCGTGGGCGCTCCATCACTGGAGATTTTAAGAAGAGACTGGACAGTCACTTGTCCGAAATGGTATAATTGTTCTGCTTGAGCAGGGGGCTGGACTAGAAGACCTCCAAGGTCCCTTCTATATTTCACTCTACTCTACTCTACTCTACTCTACTCTACTCTACTCTACTCTACTCTACTCTACTCTACTCTACCTATTCCTATTCTATTCCTACTCTACTCTACTCTACTCTACTCTACTCTTCCTATTCTATTCTATTCTATTCTATTCTATTCTATTCTATTCTATTCTATTCTATTATTTTGCTTGCTGACTGGGGAATTCTGGGTGTTGAAGTCCATACATCTTTGATAAAGCTGAAAAACACTGGTTTGCATACATCAAGTTGACCCTTGATGGCCAAAAATAATTCACATACCTGCAAAACCGTGTGTATTTGTGTGTGTTGGATTGCCCAATCAGGTTTTCCATTTTGTCTCTTTAGACGCCCACCCGCTCCCATGGACATCCCTATATAAGTAAACACACACAAACACAAACAGAGGCATATTTTCCCTTAATACCAGGTCCATCATTGCATCTGGAGGCAAACTTGCAATTCATTTCCTCATTACGAGTTGTAAAATATCAGTGTGGGAGGGAGATTTTTTTGTGTTTTTTGTTTTAACTGGCATGAAATGAACAAATATTTTGACACTGAGTTAATATTTTGCAAAAAAAAAAAAAAAGACTTAATGACCCATCCTGCCACATGTTTACCCAGAAATAAGGCTCACTTTCAGGCTGGCAGCCGTAAATTCAGCCCAAACGGGCCAGTTTTATTTTTAGTTTCAGCGTTTTATTCAGAGCAGAGCTGAAGCTGAAAAAATGGTGGGTTGCTTAAGGTGAATGGAGAATTCCTCTGGGCAAGGCCAGCCTTGGAACAAGGTTCCTAATTTAATCTCGGCCGCCACGCTTCCCTGCTTCCGTTTTAGCATTGAAAACATGTCCCTTTGGCAAATTCGGGGGACTGTTTCCACAGCATCACACTGAACTTAGGACCGAGTAGGATGCAGTTAATGATTTAAAACTTCTGCTGCTAAAGATTTGTTAAAAGTTAAATACTGCAGGGGTTAGGATGAAAACCCACCAAGCCCCACCCATCCCCAAAGAAAATCAGAAATATTTAATTTATGACCCGTGTTTTCTACTAGCATACATATCAGTTTTCCCTCTCTACTTTTCCCCACAACAACCCCCTAAAGTAGACTATACTGGGTGGAGCTGGAGCAAAGTCAAACCATGAGAGTCCATGGCTGAGGAGGGCAGGCTGGGTGTCTCTGGTGCCAGGTGAGAACCTTAATCCTGATACCACCCAAAGACAGCATTTTATTCATTACAGGTAAATAAATAATTGCCAGCTTACGACAATTGAGCCCAAAAAATTCTGTTGCCAAGCAAGAGAGTTAAGTGCGTTTTGCCTCATTTTGCAACCTTTCTTGCCACAGTTGTTAAGTGAATCACTGCAGTTGTTAAGTTAGTCACACAGTTGTTAAGTGAATTTGGTTTCCCCATTGACTTTGCTCCTCAGAAGGTTGCAAAAGGGAATCACGTGGCCCCGGGACACTGCAACGGTCATAAATATGAGTCAGTTGTCAAGCGTCTGAATTTTGATCACATGATCATGGGGATACTGCAATGGTCGTATGAAAAATGGCCATCGTCTTCTCTTTCCTTCCATCTTTACTAGCATTAGAGCCATATTATTATTCATATTATTATTATAATCTATGTCCTCAGGGTTGTAGACACTGTCCTTTCAGCAGTTCCAAGATGGCTCCACACCCATTTGCACTACTCAGCTGACCCCAAGGACACAAATAAACCTCCAAGTGGCCTCAATGACTCTCTAAAACAGGGGTAGTCAACCTTGGCTCTTTTATGACTCGTGGACTTCAACTCCCAGAATTCCTGAGCCAGCTAAGCTGGCTCAGGAATTCTGGGAATTGAAGTCCACGAGTCATAAAAGAGCCAAGGTTGACTACCCCTGCTCTAAAAGAATGAAAACGACCAGCTGTCTGCAAGGAGTATAAATCCTCCCATTCCCCACCATCCAGTCGGAGCTGAAGAAGCTTCTTGGCTGAGAAGCGAAACGCCTTCAAGGAAAAACAAAGAAAGTCCAGTTGCCTCTTGAAAATGCACCTTTGGGAGTCCATAGCAACGTTTTATACAAAGTTCCTGCCCGTTGAGCAACTTAATCCTCCGCCAACAGGGGGCACCAAAGAACAAAGTTTTTCCGGTGGTCGCTCTATGTAGAACTCTATGATCAGGAGAATGCTTTTCTTCCTGGACCCGGAAGCTAACTCAACCCACGTGGCGCCGAGGGCGGTAGAAGTTTCTGAACCCCCTGAATTTCTGGATTGAAGAAAGGAGCAGGTAAGCGATGAGCGCGTATTTAGGGCTTTGCCAAAAAGAAAAAGAAGAAAATGCCAGAAAAAGTGTTCGTAGGGTAGTATCTACATTGTCGGTCATAGATTCCATGCTCCCTGGGCATTCTGGGAGTTGAAGTCCATGCATCTTAAAGGGGCCGAGATTGAAAAATATTGATATAAACCAAATTTCATTCTTCCTTCCCCAAATCCTTTGGGGTTTTATCTTGAAACATTTCCCTGACTCTGACTGAGGCCAGTGCAGCCTGATGCCCTCTATATGGCTCAGATTCCAGTTTACACAATCCCCATATGCTGGGAAACATGGGCTTTGGCACTCCTGGCTGTGCTTGTATGCACACAAGCCTGAGCTAATGTTCTCATGTAATATTTTGGCTTAAGGGCTCATGTAGGCTAGGATGAGAGGCGGATTGTGTGTGTGTGTGTGTGTTTGTGCACTAGTGCATGCCTGCCTTTCTCACATCTTCCTTTCCATTCAGCCTATTTCTTTCCATCCCATCCCATCCCATCTGCTGTCCCAAAAGTGCTTTTTCCAAAGAGCAAGTGGACTTTCTTGATTTTTTTCCCTTTGAAAATGTTTTGCTTTTCATCCAAGAAGCTTCTTCAGTTCTGAACTGAACTGAACTGAACTGAATAACTGAATAAGCTTTTTGGATGAGAAGAGAAACGTTTTCAAAAGAAAAAAACCAAGAAAGTCCAGTTGTCTTTTGGAAAAAAAAGCACCTTTAGGGCAACCATAACCTGGATCAGGGGTCTTCAAACTTGGCCCTTTTATGACTTGTGGACTTCAACTCAAAGAATTCCTCAGCCAGTGTGCCTGGCTGAGGAATTCTGGAAGTTGAAGTCCACAAGTCATAAAAGGGCCAAGTTTGAAGATCTGACCTGGATGATTGAGAATCTCCATAGAAACGTCCCCATCCTGTTTGGAAAGCAGAGAAATAATTTTTTAAAAATGAATGTTTTTTATTTGTCAAATTTAGGACATGGCATTTTTGTCTACTTCGTTGTCAGTTTGAATGTTTTAACTTTTAGTTCCCAGAATTTTAATGCATCTAACCTTTCAACGGTGTTATACTGTCATTTATGGTATTGTAAAGCCACCCAGAATTGCCTGATAGTGATGTGGCCGGCATGTATATTAAATAATTAAATAAATAAATAACAAGCATTCTTTCCTTCAGCTTTGGCCTGCAACAATCCTATTGGTGACCCCTGAATTCTTCTAATGATTTTTTTTTCATATCCCTTATTTATGACATTAGAGACAAAGCCGCAACTACTCTTTTTATTATTTCATTTTATTATTTTGAGGATGCCTTTAAGTCAGTTTTGATGCACGGCAACTGCCCTAGACTAGTCCCTGCAGGGGTTTTTTTTGGCAATGTTTTTCGCATGTGGTAGCCCTTGCCTCTTTCTTAGGGCTGAGAGAGACTGACTGGCTCCAGGTCCAGTCAGTGGCTGTGCTGGTTGAGGAATTCTGCAGCTGAAGCTTGAAAGAGGTTGGGAATCCTCGATCTAGGACAGGGGTCTCCAAACTTGGCAACTTTAAGACTTGTGGCTGGGGAATTCTGGGAATTGAAGTCCACAAGTCTTAAAGTTGCCACGTTTGGAGACCCCAGATCTAGGAGATTATAGCATTGCGTATAATAATCCATTTCTTTTCTTAAGGTTACATATGAAGAAATAGAAGTGGGAGAAATGGACCCTCTGCATGCCTTTAACGCTGCTTTGCGGAAGGCAGCAAAGTTGCCCTTTGTCATTGGTCTTACCGCTCCTTTTAAGAGCACCCGCTACTTCTCCACGTGGAAAAAACCGCCGTTGTTGGAAAATCAGCCTCTTGAGGAAGTAAGCAATAAAAAAGCCATCGCTCTGCAGCCTGAAACGTCTAAGCTTCAGGAAACCGACCTGTTGAACGCCGTACCCCGTCCCGGTGGGAAAAAACGCAAGGCCGATGCTCTTCAGAGTAAACCCTTCCAAAAATTCTACACCAAAGCTGTGCCGAGCACCACTAAGGAAGAATTCAGGAACCTGAGAAATGATGATTTTGTCTCCAAGCATAAAAAGCTGCAGAGAAGCCTTCCTCTGCCAGAAAGGACCAACGGCTCGGAGATCTTGTTTGGGACAGCCCCCTGCTCCTTGGCCCTGGGAAAGTCCAAGCGGACGTTTTTCCAGCTCTTCCTCAGAACGAGCCGAGACACAACATCTGGGGCAGAAAAATTCTCCCAGTATGCCGAGGAACGTGGGATCCCGGTGAAGAAGGTGCACAGGAAAGTGTTGGCTGCCCTTTGTAAAGGGGGTGTCCATCAGGGGGTGTGTCTAGAAGCCTCCCCTCTTCGGCCCCTGGCCTGGCAGGAAGGGCCCCTCCACCGAGCCCCCGTTGGCAAGGGGTCGCAGTGTATCTGGTTGGTTTTGGAGGGGATACACGATCCCATGAATTTGGGGGCGGTTCTGCGAACGGCGCACTTCCTAGGCGTTGACGGGATCGTGACGAGTGAAAGGAACAGGTGAGCTGGTCTTTTTCAGGCTGGGTGAAAAGCAATGTTTGTTGAACAATATTCAACAAGAATGTTGAACAAAAAGGATGGGTGAAGAGTACAATGAAAATGAAAGTGGCTTCCTTTATGACTGCCTTCTTCACTTAACCACCACCGCAAAAAAGATCAGGCAATTGGGTCTGTCACAGGACCAACCTGTTATTATGACTGACAAACATGATGGGCAGGCTCCGTGACGATCGTAAATCAAGGGCTACCTGTGTTGAACCAGGCCATAGGTTCTTGATGGTGAACAGGCTTGTCTTTGGAGAAATGCCTGTCTGCTTGGTCAGAAATCCCCGAACCCAGGGCCTGTTCCCAATCAATACAGGTGAACCTCGGCTTGATCACAGTTGAGCCCCAAATGTTTGTTACTAAGTGAGACGGTTGCTAAGCGAGTTTTGTCCCATTTTGCAACCTTACTTGCCACAGTTGTTAAGTGAATCACGGCAGTCGTTAAGTTAGTGACACAGTTGTTAAGTGAATCCGGCTTCTCCATTGACTTTGCTTATCAGGAGGTCGCAAAAGGGGGTCACGTGACCCCTGGGGACACAGCAACCGTCATAAATAAGAATCACTTGCCAAGCGTCTGAATTTTGATCACATGACCAATGGGGATGCTGCTATGGCCGTAAATGTAAAAAAAACCGATCATATGTTACCTTTTTCAGTGCTGTTGAAACTTAAAATGGTCATTAAACGAACTGCTGTAAGTCGAGGTCTGCCTGTATGCCAAGCAAGAAGTGGAAGTTCATGGACGGCAGAACAATTGAAACAAGGAAGGGAGCCCCTTGTTCAAGAGCAGTCTACCTCTGAACATCAGATGTAGAAAAGCAGAGCTGTCTCAGTTTGGCTTCACTTGGCAGCTGACCGCTAGTTAAAATGCGTCTTTGGGTTGAGCCAGTTGGGTGTCAACGCTGCTAACATCAGATGTTTTCGCATTGACAACAGAGGGAAATGTAGCCATCTTTTACCTTTTGATATTAGAGTTAGATGATGCTGGGAGAAGGGGGAATGTGAACCAAGGTCCAGCTAGACATAACAACACCAAACCTAGGGTGAGAATCAAGGTTATTGAGCCCAGAGCTGATAAAGAATTATCGGGCTGGAGAACTGGAGAGGAAGCCCGGGCTTCAAGCTAATTGGGGAATGTGATTTATGACTGTTAATTGGAGGAGGGAATTGTGCTTTGATACTATGTGCTCAGGGGAGGGGAATTCAGTTTTTGGCTTCGATTATGCAGTGCCGATATTATGCTACTCAAAATAAAGCTTCTTTAAGGTAAACAATGCCTCGAAGTTTTTTTGAAGGGTTTCATCTGTTGGAACCATGACATTTGGGAGTATAATTAGCTCTGAGAGTCAGCAAAGGAGCCTCCATCTCCAGTAATAGTTTACCACCAGAAAGAAGAATGCAATCAAACAAATTTGGGTAGGGGTGTGAAACTGGATTGCATGCTTCGCAGCTCCTGAACCCGGAAAAACCAGATTAGAGTCAGGATTTTGCAATTCTTCTTCTGCTGCAGTGTGTGGTGTTTTGTTTTGTTTTTAATTTGAAGCTTTTTAGATAATTTTGAAAGCTTCTCATCCTTTGGGGGGATTTCTTTTTCTAAACTTTAGCTTTTCTCTTTGCAGCTGCTCCCTGACGCCAGTCGTTAGCAAAGCCAGCTCGGGGGTCATGGAAGTTTTCGATGTATTTAGCACCGATGATGTTCAAGACCTTCTTAAGGTAAAATACTCCTGTTCCTAATCATTCGCAACGACAACAAGCTTGAGTTATTTATCTGCAGTGCCAAATAATCGCTAAAAATGAGCAGAACAAAAAGTTTTAGGTGGCATCAGTAAAATTATTATACGCCAATTAGGGAAAATAGACATTCCACTTGGTTTCCATCAGAAGAGATGAACTGCTCTGGGCACCACATAGGAAGAGTTTAGACAAATTGGGACAATTTGAAAGGAGATCAGTGAAAATATTTGGAGGATTGGAAATTAAGTCAGGAGTGTCCAACCTTGACAGCTTATTTGAAGACCTGTGGACTTCAACTCCCAGAATTCCCCAGCCAGCCATGCAGACCTTTGGTGTAGTGCAGGGGTAGGCAACCTTGGCTCTTTTATGACTCATGGACTTCAAGTCCCAGAATTCCTGAGCCAGCCATGCTGAAGAGAAAGGGAGAGGTCTCCATGCTGAGCCATGCTGGCTCAGGAATTCTGAAGTTGAAGGAGAAAAGAAATAAGAAAATAATATGCTACTTAAAATACATATCCCTCTTGAACTAGTATGCATTCATTTCCAATTTTTTTCTGTCCTTTTTACCCATAATTAAACCTATGTTTAATCTTTAAATGTTCCATTTAATAAATCCAATCCTCTAATCTTTTAACTTTGTTTCAAAAGATTTGTGTGCTTTTGAATTGCAAGGTTGGGAGGAGATGAGACGAGGACGGGAGCTCACCCCTCACCTGGCGCTTGGGACTCAAACCTGAGCTGCTGGCTTTCCAGCCGGTAAGCACAGCAGCTTACAGTATTTCTTTATTGCATAATAAAGGTGGGATAAACCGCTAATAAATAAACAAGCCAATCTCAGACAGCGTGGCCAATTATACAGGGCGGAAGATACTAAGTTGCCCATCTTTGACCGTTAGCTGTAGCTCAGTTGTTCCTCAATGTTGGCCACTTGAAGATGCGTGGACTTCAATTCCCAGCATGCTATGTGGGGGGGAATTGAAGAGTTGGGAGTTTAAGTCCACGCATTTTAAAGATACCAAGATTGAGAAATACAGTACATACTGCTCCGGAGTACAAGTTGTTGTAATACAACAAATGGACATGGGATGGCAGCATAAGGCTACAGTTGAAAACAATCTCTCTCTCTCTCTCCCCCTCCCTCCCTCCCTCCCTCCCTCCCTCTCCCTCTCTCAAAAATGGTGGCTAACAATAGAGGTTAAATGCAGGTCTGGCTCCTGTGACATCTTTTCTCAGTGTGCCATGCAGGAGAGTTTGCCTCGATGGAAACCATGGTGTAAATTCTCTTGTTTTGTTTTTTAACTGGATCCAAAAATCTTGTTTTTTCCCACGCATAAATTTGTCTGGGTGATGGGTTGGAAGACTGCCAGTTTCTGAGAAGAATCAGGAAGAAAACCAAATTCATAACTGGACGGGGGGATTCTAGGAGTGGAGGTCTGCCCATCTTCAAGCATACTGGCTGGGGGATTCTGGGAGTTAATTCATTTATTAATTTTTTATGCCATCCAATTCCCATATAAGGTGACTCTGACAGGCTGGGGAATTCTGGGAGTTGAAGTCCACCCATCTTCAAGCATGCTGGCTGGGGAATTTTGGGACTTGAAATCTACCCATCTTCAAGCATGCTGGCTGGGGAATTCTGGGAGTTGAAGTCCACCCATCTTCAAACATGCTGGCTGGGGAACTGGAAGTTGAAGCCCACCCATATTAAAGCATGCTGCTGGGGGATTCTGGGAGTTGAAGCCCACCCATCTTCAAATTGCTATGGTTGAGAAACATTGGATTAGTCAATGGAAACCATTCTTATTTATTTATCTGTTTTTTTCCCTAGATTAATACCTATTTCATATAAGGCAGCATGCATAGCAACGTGACCAAAAACCAACCAGGATAATTTTTCCTTATTCCCTCCAGGAAGCAAAAGAATTGAGCCTTGTGTATAGAAAGCAAAATGTTGCACAGGTCTGAAACTTGAGCGACTTTTTTTTCTCCTTCCCCCCTCCTTCCCCCCTCCCCTCCCAAGACAAAATCCGAAGAAGGTTGGGAAATCCTCGGGACAGTTGGCCATGGAAAGATTCCGGGAGACGTTCCAGTTGTCACTTGCTCAAACTTTCGCTGGACTCAACCCACCATATTGTTACTTGGTAGGTAAATTTTTCCATGGAGTGGAGAGCGGGGGGGGGGGGGGGAGACAGGGAAAAACCATCCCTGACACCCTTTGGTGTGGGAAATTCTTTTCTTGTTGGTTCAAATAGATGGGGGCTCTTTTCATCTGCTTTCCAGCAGTCAGCAAAAGGAGATTCTTCCCGTTGAAAAATGTGACACCAGCAGGGTAGAAGGGAGATTGCGAGATACGTCAGCAATCTGACCGTGTTTTTATCGTGGTCAGACTGTAAGGTGAAACTTAAAAGGAGCCACCAATTAGATCCTGAATCCTGGGTAAAAGGGAAACAGCATAGAGGAGTATTTTTCAGTTCTCTCTTCTCTCCTCCTTCTCTTTCTCTCCTTCCTTTTCCTTCTCTCCTTCTCTTTCTCCTCTTCTCTCCTTCCCCTTCTCTCCTTTCTCTCCTTCCCCTTCTCTCCTTGTTCCTTTCTCTTTTCCTTCTCTTTGTCTCCTCCCTCCCCTTTCTTTCTTTCTTTCTTTCTTTCTTTCTTTCTTTCTTTCTTTCTTTCTTTCTTTCTTTCTCTTTTTTTCTTTATTTCTTTCTCTCTCTCTCTCTCTCTCTCTCTCTCTTTATCTTTCTTTCTGTTCTTTCTCTCCTCCCTTTCTCTCCTGCTCTTTCCTTCCCCTTCTTTCCTTCTCTTCATCTCTCCTCCTCCTCCCTTTTTTTCTGTTTTCTTCCCTCCTTCTCCTTCTACCTCCTTCTGTCCTTTTCCTTCTCTCCTCCTTCCCTCCTTCTCCTCTCCTCCTCTCCTTTTCTTCTCCTGTATCTTCATATTATTATTATTATCTTACCTGTCTTATCTATACAACTGAAAGTGGCAAACATACTAATTCTCCTGTCTCCTGTTTTACCTACAAGAACACCCTTGCGAGGTGGGCTGGGCCAAGAAGTTGATCTCTGAGCACTGCAGTCAATGTTTCTAGAGTCATTTCCTTTATAACAAAGTTTTCCAATCCCTTTTTCCTTGTGATTAGTTTTGAAGCTATTGTTTCAGAAAGACGATTTTATGTATTTATATACTTTTTTGTTCATTGCTTTAGCACAGACATGTCAAACACAAGGCCCGGGGGGCCGGATGCGGCCCGTGAAGTGGTTTCATGTGGCCCGCGAAGCCATCCTGGAAACAGTGAGGGAACGGCCCCCTGTACCTTGACCCTGGCCCAGGCCGGCCGGGAGCCAATGTACAATTTTGTGGTGGCCATCTATGCTGAAACACATTCAGTCTTAGCTCCACAAGGCCGTCCAGAAACAGCGAGGAACCAGCCCCTGCCGCGTCGGCCCCAACCCCTGGGTGCATGCTGGGGAGGTGTCACCCTTTGTGAGGAATGGAGAAATGCACCATCGCCTGGAAGTGGCCAGCAAATGGCCCTCGCCTACTCTGCCCTGGTCCTACCCCTTTCAGCCAGAGACCCTCAGATCTGTCCCACTCCTGCCCAGGCCCCCACAGGCACCCTTGAATGATGTAGAGCTGGCCACGCCCACCCAGTAGGCCACACCCACTCCATTCACGCCCACCCAGTAGGCCGCCCCCCCCCCCGAGGGCAACCGCAATGCTGATGCGGCCCTCAATGAAATTGAGTTTGACACCCCTGCTTTAGCACATTCTTTTTAAATCTCCCTTCTACTTGCATCCTTTGGTCATCTAATTCTTAAAACAAATCCTTCCTCTGAGCCGAGCGCCAAAGGCAGAGGGTCTGAATTGTAGCATCTGCTCTTGTTTCGCTGGGTGGCAGTTTAATTGCTAATCAATCGAAAGCTCTAATTAAACTTTCACTTGTCATGTTGGCCTAGTAACTCTGCCGAAGTGATCAGGGAAAGGAAAAGAGTTTCTGGTTTCAGGGTCTGCCATGAGGTATTCTAGGGCTAGATGTGTGGGGGAAAAAATCTGTAATTCTTTCATATACTGTCAACTTCTGAAACAAGCCTGGCTGAAGCCATCTTTGTCGTTCTAAGTTGCCACATAGGTTGCGGGAGAGGGGGGGGGAAAGAAAATGAAAGTATGCTAGACTTTATATACTTTATATCAGGGGTCTTCAAACTTGGCCCTTTTATGACTTGTGGACTTCAACTCCCAGAATTCCTCAGCCAGACCCCTGCTTTATATAAATAACACCATTTCAATGATTCTCATCACCGTCTTCAAAGGGAAACCATTTTGTGATTGGACCAGTTTTCCTCAGCCTCAAGTCATTTTAAGATGTGTGGATTTCAACTCCCAGAAATCCCCAGCCAGCCATTCCCATGCTGGCTGGGGGATTCTGGGAGTTGAAGCCCATGCATCTTCAAAGTGGCTGAGGCTGTGAAACCATGGAGTAGATCCAGAATAAACCAGGAGTTTATTGACTGAAAAAGATGTTGAGACTCTGGAAAGAGTACAGAGAAGAGCAGTAAAGATGGTTAGGAGACTGGAGGCTAAAACATATGAAGGAATTGGGTATGTCTAGTTCAGGGGTAGGCAACCTTGGCTCTTTTATGACTCGTGGACTTCAACTCCCAGAATTCCTGAGTCAGCCAAGCTGAGGGGAAAGGGAGAGTTTCCAAGCTGAGCCATGCTGGCTCAGGAATTCTGGGAGTTGAAGTCTACGAGTCATAAAAGAGCCAGGATTGCCTACCCTTGGTGTAATTTAATTTAATGAAAAAAAGGACCAGGGGTGACATGATAGCAGTCTTCCAATATTTGAGGGGCTGCCCCAAAGAAGAGGGAGTCAAGCTATTCTCCAAAGCACCTGAAGGCAGGACAAGAAGCAACGGATGGAAACTAACCAAGGAGAGAAGCAGCCTAGAACTAAGGAGGAACTTCCTGACAGTGAGAACAATTAACCAGTGGAATGACTTGCCACCAGAAGTTGTGGGTGCCCCAATACTGGAGGTTTTTAAGGGGAGACTGGACAGTCACTTGTCTGAAATGGTATAGGATCTCCTGCCTGAGCAGGGGATTGGATTAGAAGACCTGGCTCAAAAACATCCAGTGAACCTCTATGACTGGAGAGAACCTCAAACGTGGGTCTCCAGCTCCTTGTCCGGCCTTCCCCACTGCCCCACAAAGAACCTGGGTTTGAGAGGGTGGGACCAGCCCAGAGGCCTCAAGGTCCACAGCCTGGGTCTCTCTGCCCTGGCTTGGCCCCACCTCTCCAGGACTCCCTGCCACTGGGCTCTCAAAGAGAATGAAATGGAAGTAAGATGTACGTGCTAAAAAATAAATAAATCCATTTTGAAATTGTCTAGATCTAAATTGCCCTTCTTTTTTTCCTTTTGACACATGCATGCAGGGAATGAAGGTTACGGCCTGTCTCCGGAGACAAAAAAGTTATGCCACAGGATGTTGACCATCTCTCCCGGAAGAGATTTGGAATTTGGGGTAGAGTCCTTAAATGTGTCAGTGGCAGCCGGTAAGACGATTTGCCTTCTCTCTATCTGCGCCTTCTCACGCTGTGTTGTGTGTTTGGCTTCTCAGAGAAAAAAAAAGAGTTTGGAAATAGCTAATATGTTTCCTTCCTTCCCTACCTCCCTATCTACTTTTTTCCTTCTCTCTATCCACCTTCCTTCTTTCCTCCCTCCCTCTTCCTTCTTTCCTTCTCTCCTTCCTTCTTCCCTCCCTCCCTCCCCTTTTTTATCCACCTTCTTCCTTCCTTCTTGCTATCCACCTTCCTTTCTTCCTTCCTTTCCTTCCTTCCCACCCTATTTTTTCTATCCACCTCCTTCTTTCCTTTCCTTCCTCCCTCCCTCCTTCCCTTCTATTTTTTTCTATCCTCCCTCCCTTTATCCATCTTTTTTCCTTCTCTCAATCCACCTTCCTTCTTTCCTCCCTCCCTTCGTTCCTTCTACCTTCTTCCCTTCCTACCCTTCATCCCCTCTTTATCCACCTCCCCATATTTTTTCTATCCACCTATTCCTTCTCCCTATCCACCTTCCTCCCTCCCTCCCTCCGATTTTTTTCTATACACCTTCTTTCCTTCTCTCTCTCTATCCACCTTCCCTCTCTTCTTTCTCCTTGTCTACCTTCTTCTCTCTACCTTCCTCTCTCCCTTCTTTCTTTTTTTCCTTCCACCCCCCTCCCTCTTTTTTTTTTTTAAACTCTTTTCAGGCATTCTTTTGCATGCCATCTGCAACCAGAGAAATAACCACCCCAAAATTACTGCATCTGAAGGAGAAGGAGCAGACTCTACGGCTGTAAAAGACTGCAACCAAGAAAGTCAGCCAACAAACATCCTGGCATAGAATGAATTTCAGACAGCGGAAGAACTCTGCAGCTCAGAGAGGAACACCTAAAACGGAGGCAGCCAGACCTCTGGGATGTATTTTCACTCCATGTTGTTTGTACTTCATCTGCACTTTTGAATTTTAGACGGCCCTGGAATCCTCTTTTGCAAAATTTCAAGAGTGTCTTGTCCTGTCTGAAAACAATAAACACCTTCCTGGTATCCTAATGCCTAAAGTTTTGTCAAAGTAATCCACCCATTATAGAAAAGCCTCATTGGCCAGGTCCTAGTTTTTATAGCTCTGATCCTTTTGCAGGTCAGAAATTCAGAATGAAAAACCGCTGGACGAAAGTCAGAAGGAAGTTAGTTTTGGGGCTGCATCTCTCCAACACTGAAAAGCAATCATTTAACCCTCTGGTTGTTTTTAATCTTTTTAAATTTGTAATCCGTAACCTCCAGGAACGGATGGCGTTTTTAAAACCTGGATTAAAAAAAGATCCAGCCTCTCGGTTTGTCCCTAGATTTTTTTGGGGGGGGGGGCAGGACGATTGGAAGGACTTGCGATGTGTCCACTAGATGGTGGTGTGGTTGCGCGTTTGTTAATTTCACCCAGGAGAAAAAGGTGGAATCAGTTGTCGCAAGGCCTGGGAGCATTAATTCTCCTTGGCATGAAGAGATGAAAGTAAAGCACATTTCTTTCTCTGTGGCGTCCTGGTCTGACTTTATATATTCCCTATGCACCCCATTACAAGCCAGTCCTATTGGGGAAAAAAACCCAAGAGAAAACTATATTTTCCAGTTAAAAGTTGCATCTTGCGCTGGTCCTTAGCAATGATTTCCAGTTAATAATAATAATAATGATGATGATGATGATGATGATGATGATGATGATGATGATGATGATGATGACAAAAAAGTCTGGATAGTGGACGTGGTAGTGCCTGGAGACAGCAGAATAGACGAGAAAGAACTGGAGAAGATAATAAAATACAAAGACCTACAAATAGAAATAGAAAGACTGTGGCAAAGGCAAGCAAGGGTAGTACCAATAGTAATAGGCACCTTGGGTGCAATCCCAAAACAACTGGAGCACCACTTGAACTCCATGATCGGCATTGACAAATTCGCCATTAGTCAATTGCAAAAGGCGGCCTTATTAGGAACTGCTTCCATCCTGCGACGATATCTGTAATACCATCAAACATCCACATCTGCCTATCCCAGGTCCTGGATAAGGACTCGATAGGTAGACAAAAATGCCAAATCCAGTCTGAACATCTGGCTGACTGTGTGATGATCAATAATAATAATAATAATAAAAATTGGAAGGGACCTTGGAGGTCATCTAGTCCAACCCCCTGCTCAGGCAGGAAATTATACCATTTCAGACAAATGGCTGTACAGTCTCTTCTTAAAAACTTCCAGTGTTGGAGCATTCACCACTTCTGGAGGCAGGTTGTTCCACTGGTTAATTGTTCTCACTGTCAGGAAGTTTCTCCTTAGTTCTAGGTTGCTTCTCTCCTTGATTAGTTTCTACCCGTTGCTTCTTGTCCTGCCTTCAGGTGCCTTGGAAAATAGCTTGACTCCCTCTTCTTTGGGGTAGCCCCTGAGATATTGGAACACTGCTATCCTGTCCCCCCTCGTCCTTGTCTTCATTAAACTAGACATACCCAATTCCAGCAGCCGTTCCTTATATGTTTTAGCCTCCAGTCCCCTGATCAAGCAGACAATTCCCCCCCCCCCCCGCAAAATATAGACTGCTCAGTTTCCTCGTTTTGGGCATGGTGGTGAAAGTACAGACAGTCCTCGGCTTATGACTACAATGGGGCCCGGAATGTCCATCGCACGTAACGATGGTCATAAGTCGAGAAATCCACATGACTGACCCGATTTTATGAGATTTTTTTTTTGCAACTGGTGGTAAAGTGAACGCCGTGATCATTAAACAAACACATTTATTCATTTAAAACATTTATATAGCTCCCCCCATCTCATAACCAACTTTGAACGGACCTCCAATTATCCGCAGGGAATTTTTTTTGCTGGAAACTTGCAAAAGTATCATCGGTTGCAGCTATGCCACTGCAGGATGCTGCAAACAGCTTTAAGTGTGGGCCGGTTGCCATGTACCAAAATGCAATTGCATAACTCTCTCTGTGTGTGTGTGTGAGAGAGAGAGAGACAGACAGACAAGTTCCAGCTTAAATATCTAAATAAAAGTCCAGGATTATTTTCATTTCTGAAAAGCATACTGTTTGTTGAATATATTGTCCCTTCCAACTCAGTTATTCTATGATTCTGTAAGGGTCTCCTGCTTAGCAAGGGGTTGGCCTAGATGACCTTCAAGGTCCCTTCCATCTCTGTTCTTCTGTGATTCTAAATTGCCTGGTAAAGGCGAGGTAAAACTAATTCTAAAATCTGAAGGCATCAGACCATAGCATATAACAATAACTTTCCCAGCCAAATCCCACCAGGTGTCCATGTAGCTCATGTAAACATGTTCTCCTTGTTATGAGACCTGTCATCTTTACACCTGGCTAGAATGTCCTTGGAAGATTTCCATAGTGCTGACTTTCAGCAAGCTTCAGTAAATCTGGAAAGGTTTCACTTCTCTAAATAACTCACTCAAAAACACCTCCCCTTTTTATTCTAATGGCAAGATGCAAACAAAGAGGCACGTAGCTGACAAATTTTCATTCTTGACAGACAGAGAGAAAAACCATTGGAACTTTCAGTTACTTGTCTGAAATGTATAGGTTCTCCTGCTTGAGCAGAGGGCTGGACTAGAAGACCTCCAAGGTCCCTTCCAGATTCTATTCTATTCTATTCTCAATAAAGATTCTATTCTATTCTATTCTCAATATTCTATTCTATCCCATCCCATCCTATTGTTCTTGTTCTATTCTATTCTATTCTATTCTATTCTCAATAAAGATCTATTCTATTCTATTCTATTCTATTCTATCCTATCCTATCCCATCCCATCCCATCCCATCCTATTGTTCCTGTTCTTGTTCTTGTTTTGTTCTGTTCTGTTCCGTTCCATCCCATCCCATCCCATCCCATCCCATCCCATCCCATTATTGTTCTTATTCTTGTTCTATTCTTGTTCTATTCTATTCTATTCTATTCTATTCTATTCTATTCTATCCTATCCCATCCCATCCCATCCCATCCCATCCCATCCCATCCTATTGTTCCTGTTCTTATTCTTGTACTGTTCTGTTCTGTTCCATCCTATCCCATCCCATCCCATTCTATTGTTCCTGTTCTTGTTCTGTTCTGTTCTATTCCATTCCATTCTATTCCATCCCATTCTATTGTTCCTGTTCCTATCCTATCCTATCCTATCCTATTCTATTCTATTCTAATTTGGATCATAAGTACCTTTTTGGAGGTTCGTCATAACTTCAAAAAGTCTCTAAGTGATTGCTCATAAGTCGAGAACTACCTGTATTTCTAGCCTCTGCTTGGTCATGTACCCAATTTAAAAAGCTTGGAACAATTTTAAAGTTTCCATCCCTCTTTTGTTTTTTTTCTGTTCTCCGATATCCCTCTGCAGGAAGGCAGAGGAAACCTCTGCCCCCAGGATGCACAGTTTAAAATTCAGCCTCACGAAGGAGATACGTTTAAGATCGTTGAGCATTTGGGAGCACAGTTACATAAATGTCGGTGGAGATTTTACCTGGTAGAAATTAGTTTGACTTTGAATCGGGTTTTGGACCCAATTACACCCCAAGCCATCATATGCCTTAACATTTGTAATAGAGGCATCTGCAGGAATGGTGAAAAAAATCAAGATGGTGGCTATATAGATCCAGGCAGTCCTTGAATTACAATCACAATTGAGCCCAAAATTTCTGTTACTAAGTGAAACATCTGTCCAGTGCGTTTTGCCCCATTTTGCGGTTTTTCTGGTCACGGTTGTTAAGGGAATCATTGCAGGTGTTAAGTTAGCCACACGGTTGTTAAGTGAATCTGGCTTCCCCGTTGACTTTGCTGGTCAGACGGTCGCAAAAGTGGATCACATGACCCCGGGGCACAGCAACGGTCCTAAATATGAACCCGTGGCCAAGCATCTGAATTTTAATCATGTGACCATGGGGACGCTGTGACGGTTGTTAAGTGGAAAAATGGTCATGTTACTTTTTTCAATGCCGTGGTAACTTTGAACAGTCCCTAAACGAACTGTTGTAAGTCGAGGACTACCTGTAGTCCTGGACTTGGTCACCAGTCAGTTAGTGACTGTTCAAAGTTACAATGGACCTCCCCAGGGGCTACTTATGACCTGAATGCAGAGTTATGATGGCCAGCCCCCCCCACCTTCTGATTACATAATCCCTTGCTATTTGCAGTGACCTGCAATCACGTGTCTGCTGTTTACATTTTTTTGCCAAAAAGTAGTGTTTACTTCTGATTTCCACCATTGTAGACAATGGGTTTGTTTAACAACCATGAATAGAACAGAATAACAGAATTGGAAGAGACCTTGGAGGTCTTCTAGTCCAACCCCCTGCTCAGGCAGGAAACCCTATACCAGGGGTAGGCAACCTTCACTCTTTTATGATTTGTGGACTTCAACTCCCAGAATTCCTGAGCCAGCATGGAAACCTCTCCCTTTCTCCTCAGTATGGCTGGCTCAGGAATTCTGGGAGTTGGAAGTCCACAAGTCATAAAAGAGCCAAGGTTGCCTACCCCTGCCCTATACCATTTCAGACAAATGGCTGTCCAGTCTCTTCTTAAAAACTTCCAGTTTTGGAGCATTTACAACTTCTGGAGGCAAATCGTTCCATTGATTAATTGCTCTGTCAGGAAATTTCTCCTTAGTTCTAGGTTGCTTCTCTCCTTGATTAGTTTCCATCCGTTGCTTCTTGTTCTGCCTTCAGGCGCTTTGGAGAATAGCTTGACCCCCTCTTTTTTGAGGGAGCCCCTCAAATATTGGAACACTGCTTTTTCTTCTTTTCTTCTTTTCATTAAACTAGACATACCCAAACAAGACATACCACGTAACAAACATGGGTGGTTAGTTAACAACCACTGGAAAATAGATTGTAAAATTAGGTGCCGTCGCCAGATCACCCACTTTACAAACATAATACTGGGCTCAGTTACGTCGTAAGTTGAGCACGAAGATCTGCTCCTTTTTAGAGGCATTGCTGTGATCTTGCCTCTAACATCCCTTTTGCAAAGGGAAAAGGATCCACTAGCAACAGAC